ATTTAAAATGGCTGAAAACATATCCAAAGTTCTTCCTGTTACAACCAATTAAGAGAGTTTCTAGAGAAAAGAGAGCAGAGAATGGGACTTTGGGAGGAAGCTCCATATCTTGGGAGCAGCCACCAAGGAGGTCTTGCCTCTTAGGCCCTCATCAAATAGGCCTGGGAGGAAGGAACAACTAAGAAGACCTTTAAGACTGCAAGACTTATATGGGAGATTTCAGATACTAAGCCATATAGAATGTTTTGAGTCACAACCAGCATTTTGAATTGGGACAGGAAACAGAACTAATAGCCAGTGGAACCATTTCAGCAAGGGAGTTAGATGCTGTATTTGTATAACAGTCACCACCCCTTTATGGAATAGCAAAAACCGAGTTTTTCCATTCCCTGCATAATGGTCGCACCCTTAGTTCACTAGCTTGGGCAAGTGAATAACGGTGCGACTGCTATTTTGGCACTGAGCAAGCCTCACAGCACCAAAAGGGAAAGGAGGCGGGTGCCGTCAGATTGACTATTATTACATGGTGAAATAAGACCCTAAAATGGGCCCTTTTTCATAATATAATAGTTGCATCCACAAAATAATAGTTGTCATCGCATAATAGTTGCACATCTCTTTCCCCCCAAAACGGAGTGCAACTATTATGCAGTGATTCCCATTGAATCAGTGGGGTTTATCTACATGGTCATTCCCTATAAAGAGCTGTCACCAGATTCAGAAGCGATTCCAGATGACCTCAGGCCTCAATACAATCATTACTTGCAGCAAGACTATTCCCATTGAATCAGTGGGATTTATCTACATGGTCACTCACTATTCAATCTTTTGTGCAATGTGCCGAATAGTCATGAGGAACTAACAGCCTCATCTCATGGGAGTTTGGACATTGCATAAGGAGCTATTCTGTACCTCTTCCTGCAACCCCCATTACTCCTTGTGTGACAGCAGTCAGGCTGTTGGCAGATACAGCATCATCTTCTTGGCTTGACTCTACAGTGTGGCCAACCAATGTTTGGCTGTACTCATGCACCTCACAAAGAAGGATCAGTCTTACACTGGGAGTAGAGGCTATGCTTTCTCCTGTAAGTGTGCAAGGGCAGCCAAAATGCACCTATGTTCATCCTCTTGACAATCAGTAGGTCAGGGAATAGAGACATGGCCTCCAACTTCCTGGATTCAGAACCGTTTAGGGCTTTATAGGCAAATGCCAGCACTTTGAATTGTGCCCGGTAGCAAACTGGCAGCCAGTGGAGCTGGCGCAACAGAGGAGTAGTATGCTCCCTGAGTGCTGCTCCTGTTAGCAACCTGGCTGCCGAATGCTGGACCATTCTGAGCAGTCTTCAAAGGCAACCCCATGTAGAGAGCGTTGCAGTAGTCTATACGGGATGTAACCAGAGCATGGACTACCGTGACCAAATACACTGGTGAAGACATGTATCTTGTCTTCATGTCCAGGTCACATACTTTTGTCTGTTGTTCTTGTTAGTGTATTTCCAGGGTAGGCAGTGGGTGCATTAATCTGATTCAGTAATTCTGTGCTAGGTTTGAAAAGGATTATTGCAAACTTATGAATCTATTGGAGATTCTGAACCCTGTCCTTGAAAATAGTGAATACGTTTCAGCACCTTGGATAGCTCTCATAGACACAGAGTGGCTCCTGTAAATCCCACTGTGGGTTGACTGTCCGAAGAGAAAGTAGTCACTGGTCATCACTGTACATGCCAATATTGCCATATGCAATGCTTCAAATGTGCATGGGCCAGCGAAAAAGCACAAAGGGGATAAGGGGAAAAATGTCAAAACTGGATAAAGGGAAAGCAATGATTTGAATGGAGGTTAACAAAAACAGACAGAAGGGTGCTAACTCAATGGCAAGGCATGTGCAGAAGGCAACAGAAGCAGGTCCTGAGCATTTCCTGAGCGTTACTCATGCATACATTACTTTACACATGTGGTCGTGTTATTTTAGCCATATCATAATGTTCATATTGAGTTTACAGTTGCATGAAGAAGACTGTATATAGTCGAAACCGGTTGTGGATTGTGGATTCTGGAAAAGGACGGATAAACTGTATGTTGCTGTGGACAAACTTTAGCTAAACAAACTGACATATTCAACTTTAGGTATCAATGTTGTAACTACATTAAGAAGTTCTGGATCAAGAGAGTTGTAAAAAGACAAACGTTATGTTGTTATTGATAAATTTGATTTTCAAAAGAACTTTCAAAACAGCTGTACAAACCACTGTGAGAATTGTTGTGTAATATATATCGTACTAGATGCCAATACACTGAATGTTATAGTACTTAAGCAAAGATATAATATACATTATTGCAATTATATAACTGGTTTATTTTGGGTCTTAGGGACTTTTTGTCTTTTGTATTGCAGGGAACCCTTGTTCTCTATGTGTTTTTTTTAGCCATGTCATAATGTTCATATTGAGTTTACAGTTGCATGAGCAAGGTTCTGTAAGTTGCAAATGCAGTTGAGTGTTCCTGGATGGTGCACCACTATTCACCAGCACATTCGATGTATCATTTAATTGGCTGGGAGTGTGGAAACAGAATGGTTGCTTACCTGTAACTGTGTTTCTTTGAGTGATTATCTGTCAAATTCGCACATATGGTATTTCTTACTGCACAGGCACAGAAAAAAGTACCATATGTGCGATTTTCACAGTGACCACGCTGAAGAAGGAAACATTCACAAATATACCTTTGAGTATTCAGCAGAAGGGTGGGATAGAACAGCTATCACTTAACTACATGAGACAATATTTACACCATCCAAGATCTTAGCTAATGCTATTTTGAGGATGCATTCCAAAACTTCAAATTTGTCTTCAAGGGCAGTCCCACATATACTGCTTTACAGTAGTCTAACTGGGATGTTTGCAGTGCCTAAACTAATGTGGTCAGGTTATACCTGTCCAACAAAGCCAGTCAAAGTTGCACCCAAGTGCTCTCAGATGCAAAGTCCACATCTCTCTCCAGAGCAGGCTTGGGCAAGCTTCAGCCCTCCAGGTGTTTTGGACTCCAACTCCCACAATTCCTAACAGCCTATCGGCTGTTCGGAATTGTGAGAGTTGGAGTCCAAAACACCTGGAGAGGCAAAGTTTGACCATGCCTGTTCCAGAGACACAGATGTTGGAATGCTGTTCTAGACGTCAGAGTGTTTCCTTTCATGCTTCCATGGTGCCCATCAGAACGCCCTACTGATTGGTTGGCTCAGCTGCCCTCTATTGTAGAAGGAATGCTCACAAAGGAGGCTGACCTCACTAACTGACTGTTACGCTTCCTTTGAGGAGCTAACTGTCACAAGGTGAGCATTCAAGGTAGCGGCTCACCATGGCCAGAGCCCAGTGGTCTGAGTTCCAAAGCCAGCATCATGCCGCTATGAAATAAAGGGGTACAAGAAAAAAAAAACCAAACGAACCTGCCCTGGAGAGTTCAGAAAATATCGGGTGTGGGGCTACTGTTCCTCTTCCCCCTGCCTCTTTTGTAAAAAAAATTAATTTATGCAGAGAATAACCATCGCATTTCTCCATGTGTGTCTTCTGCTTCCCAAAAGCTCTTGCCCAGATATTTAAAACCTATTTTATGGCCAGTTACAACGTTGAATTCGGTAACTGGCCGGTGGACTTCCGTTGGGACGAGGCCGGGATCTTCAATGATTCGACTAACCGTGCGATCAGCAACAGCAAAAGCCATGGCCGCCAGATCCTGGTCAAAGCTGCGCCAGGGACATGTCCACTGGCGTCGGCCTTCTCCACAGGACAATATAGAGAGGGGAACTCCGGATGGGGCTTCATTAGCAGCATCAAACAGATGCCCAGCCGCTTCGCCAGTTACATCATGGCGCATTCTTTAGGCCGCTGGCTGCTGTACCCGGGTTCGGTGTTCATTCTGAACCAAGCTCTGTTACCCATCTTGGCCAAAGGTCAAGCTTGCCTCTTACGAGACTATAATGGCAAACGGGCCAAACTGGTGGCTCGGGATGGAAATAAGATTGACACTATGTTCATAGACAGGAGGACCAAGCAGAAGGGGCAAGTGGAAGAACGCGGGAAGTGGTTAGTTGTGTGTTGCGAGGGGAACGTCAGCTTTTATCAATGGGGTTGCCTCTTCACACTGTTGAAAACCGGATACTCCGTGTTGGGATGGAACCACCCTGGTTTCGCTGGAAGTACGGGCAAGCCCTACCCAGAGAATGATGCCAACGCGGTGGACGTCGTAATCCGTTATGCCCTCCAACGCCTAGGTTTTAGGATCCAAGACATTATTGTTTATGGATGGTCCCTTGGAGGCTACTCCGCCACCTGGGCTGCCATGTCCTACCCATCGTTGGGAGCTTTGATCCTAGATGCCACTTTTGATGACTTGCTCCCCTTGGCTTTGAATGTGATGCCCAAGAGCTGGAAGAAGCTGGTGGTGCGGACGGTGAAGGAGCATTTCAACCTCAATGTGGGAGAACAGCTCTGCAGGTACCAGGGGCCTGTGCTGCTGATCCGCAGAACCAAGGACGAGGTCATCACCACCTGTCCGTTCGGCTTGGAGGACCAGATTGCCAATCTCCGGTGCAACCGGGCCAACGCTCTCCTGATCCAGCTGCTGGAGCACCGCTACCCAGACGTCATGTCCCAAGAAGGGGTGGAAGCTGTCCACGACTGGCTCCGGGCCGCCAACCCCAAGCAAGAGGAGGCCATCTACCGGCGCTACAAGATCAACGACAACTGGTGCATCAAGAAACTGTGGGCTTACAAAGCCAGCCCTAAGCATGGAACCAATTTCCCATGGCGGGTCGGGAAGTACATCACCTGCAGAGAGAAGCAGCAAATGGCCGTGTTTCTAGCCAAGAAGCACCTGAGGAATGTGGAGGCCAGCCATTGGGCCCCCCTGAGGCCCCGCGATTTCCAGATGCCCTGGAAGTTATAGCTGAGGCCAAGGAGTTGGGATTCGGAAGACATAAGAAAGGGAGAGACAAAAAGACAGAAAAAAATGAAAAAGAGAGAGGGGTTTGGAATACTTGCTCTGAGTGCTTGTCTGGTTTTTTTGGCTGTTGTTATATATTTGAGCCTTTTCCAACATGTGCTCTGCAGATATGTGACACTACGACACCAATCGTGTTGCCTGGGGATGATGGGAATTGCAGTTTGGCATATCTGAAGCATGCCAAATTGGGGAAGGCTGGTTGATTTTGTTGTTTCCTAGAGGTTGGGTGCCCTGAAGTCAATTTAAGTGAGTGGCAAATCCATGCTCAGTTAGTCTGAACTTTGTTTAAGTACACCAGTCAAACTGTTGAGCCTCTCTTTCCAAAAATAGCCTCAACAGATTGGTTAACTCCTGTAAACTTCAGACTAACACCCAAAATGTTGCATTGATGTACAACCCACCAAACACTGGTCGAGTGAAAATGGTAAACAATGCATTTTAGCTTACGAAAATTACTGACTGGTGACAGTAGTGCTCTTCAGGGCAGGTGGGGACAGCACAGCTTTGTAATGCTAGCTTCAGGGACTACAACTTCCAGAATCCCCCAACTAGCCTGGCCATTACCTGGACAATAAATCCTTTTACTTCTCTTGAAATGACAACCTGAGATGGCCTTCAAATGCAGTCTGAATTTGGGGAAGTCTTGAGAAAGTTTGCTGCATAGGGGAGCTTAACAACCTCCATGTTCAAATAACTGGGAGGCAGCTCCTTGGTGAAGATAAATGATCAAAACTCAGTTGAGTCTGAGGATTTGATATTGGTGATGATCTATACTGCTGGTCAATATAGCCAAGCATTGCAATCCATAGTTAAGTCAGAAATAATATGCTTCAGTATCTCAGTAGTCAGAGAACACAAGTGTGGAAGTGGCAACCAAAGCCATGTTCTTCATTGTGTCAGCAGGACTGCTGACCAGTAGGTCAGCGGTTTGACTCTGGGGAGAACGGGTTGAGCTCCCTCTGTAAGCTCCAGCTCCCCATGCACAGACATGTGAGAAGCCTCCCACAAGGATGGTAAAACATCAAACATCCGGGCGTCCCCTGGGCAACGTCCTTGCAGATGGCCAATTCTCTCACACCAGAAACTACTTGCAGTTCCTCAAGTCGCTCCTGACACACACAAAAAATAGAATTAATGCAGTTTGGCACCAATTTAACTGTCATGGCTCGATGTTATGGAATTGTAGTTTGGTGAGGCACTAACACTCTTTGGAAGAGAAGACTGAAGGCCTGGTAAAACTACAACTCTCATGACAGAACATTACTTGGGACAGTGGGAGGTATGTGAAACCCAATGCACATCCTGAGGTCCCATCGACAATTCCATACAATTCAATTCAAAGCAGATAATCTGGGGTAACATACTGAATTACATGCGTATGTTGGGATTCAGGGTGCATGGGTTTGTGGTCTTCAAAAAATAACTTTACTCTACTCTGCCTGTAGAGTTGGTTAGTCTTTTTGATTTATTAGCGATGGACTACCATTCCCCGAGAGAAAAGCAGTTTGTTTCTATTGTTATCCCTCCACATTTGTGGGTTTGACTTTTGCGGATTTGATTCAAATTCTCTCTCCAACAGATTCCTAGAGAGGTGTTCCCTCTGATTAAAAACATTCCTTTATTTGCAGTTTTTCACTTTCAGAGAGGTCCTATGGCCCTAATCCCAGCAAATGTGGAGGGAAGGACATAAATGTTTTTGTGCTGATACTATTCTGTCTCCAAAAGAGAGCCCTGTACAAACCCCATCCATATTTCTTGGAACGTTTTGAGTCAAAGAGGGATTTGCAACCCTTGAGAAAGACCAGGAGGCAATAATCATGAACAGGGGTTCATTCTGCAATAATAAAATCTCCTGAGAAATTAATACAGATCTTGCTTTGGACAGAAGTGATGCAGAATAAAGCAATGACTCACTGGTGGTGCATCTACACTGTAGAATTAATGCAGTTTGGCACCACTTTAACTGGGTTGTTGTAGGTTTTTTCGGGCTGTATGGCCATGGTCTAGAGCAGTGGTTCTCAACCTTCCTAATGCCGTGACCCCTTAATACAGTCCCTCATGTTGTGGTGACCCCCAACCATAACATTATTTTTGTTGCTACTTCATAACAGTCATTGCACAAATACCCAATGCAACCACATGTAAATGCTAGTGGGGTTGGGGGAGGATTAGATTTTGTAATTTGGGAGTTGTAGTTGCTGGGATTTATAGTTCACCTATAATCAAAGAGCATTCTGAACTCCACCAGCGATGGATTTGAACCTAATTTGCCACACAGAACTCCCATGACCAACGGAAAACACTGGAAGGGTTTGGTGGGTATTGACTTGAGTTTGGGAGTTGTAGTTCACCTATATCCAGAGAGCACTGTGGACTTACGCAATGGTGGATCTGGACCAAACTTGGCACAAATACTCAATATGCGCAAATGTGAACACTGGTGAAGCCTGGGAAAATAGACCTTGACTTTTGGGAGTTGTAGTTGCTAGGATTTATAGTTCATTACAATCAAAGAACATTCTGAACTCCACCAACGATAGAATTGGCTCAAACTTCCCACATGGAATCCCCATGACCATCAGAAAATACTGTGTTTTCTGATGGTCTTTGGCGACCCCTCTGACACCCCTTTCGCGACCCCCTCAGGGGTCCCGACCCCCAGGTTGAGAAACACTGGTCTAGAGGCATTCTCTCCTGACGTTTTGCCTGCATCTATGGCAAGCATCCTCAGAGGTAGTGAGGTCACTACTACTACTACCACATCAGCTCTAGATGATTAAGTATGGTTTTCTGTGGGTGAGCAGACGGCAACTACTGGATGGCATATGTTCTGTATCAGAAACTTCAGCTGATGTGGTCTATCCAATGCAATTTTCTGAATCAGTACCCCAAATAACTAAACTGAATGTAAAGTTGACCAAAAACTGATTCATAACCCTTTTGGTACTAATGTTGGAGAGAGGTTCCTAGTCAAAATGATCCCTGTTCAAGTTGTCTCTGGTCAAAAAAAGGTTGGGAACCATTGGTTTAGATCAAGGCAAATCATAGTCCCACTTTATTCTACTCTGGCCAGACTTCACCTGGAATAACTTTTTTAAAAACTATACATGATTTTTTGGGGAAGGTGGCATTTGGGTCAAAATGCAGAAAGAAACACAGTGAAAACAAACTGTGTTGTTGCTGGTGTAAACTATGGTTCACACCGAAACAGAAATACTGGTCTGACTCCCCTTTTGTTTATGCCCAAGTGACATTATAAGACAATTTCCCCCAAGAACTCAGGAATTGTTTTTAATTTCCACTATTTATTTTGGTTTCATTTATTTCTCAAAAATATTCCTATTCTATCCTATACCCAAGGATCTCAAGTTGGCGCACAACAAATTCAATCAGAACTGGCTTTAAAAATTGAGCTGTTGATATGGTTTCCTAGTTTCTCATAGAAAGACCAGACAAATCTGTATCAGTAGAATAATTTTAGGGCATAAATAAGCCCAAGCCATTTGAGACCTATGATCTTGGAAGCTAAGCAGGGTTAACTTTGGTTAGTACATTGATGGGAGACCGCCTGGGAAGATGGAAGTTGCATTACAGAGGAAGTAACTTGCAAAATCATCTCTGAATATTCCTTGCCTAGGAAAACCCTATGAAATTCATGGGTTTGCCATGACAGACAACTTGTAGGCACATATGCACACAGAAGAAAGGCTTGTTCTGCCCTAGGCAGAGAAAAATCAATGGATCAGTACCACCACCTTGTGTCCAGAGAGGAGCAAAGCACAAAGAAAAGGAAGGAAAGCTCTTGCAATTGAATAAAATTGTGTGAGTGTATGTTTGTATGTATCTATGTTTGTTTGTATTTTCCAAGATAGCTTCCACTTCCAGAGTGCACTGTAACTCCTGCCAACAATGGATCAAGACCAAACTTGGCACACAGACCTCACATTACCAACATATAATACTGGAGGTGTTAGGGGGAAATGGTCCTTGACTGCTGGGAGTTGTAGTTCACCCACATCCAGAGTATACTCTGAACCCAAATGGTGATGGATCTGGACCAAACATGGCACTCAGATACAGCATAGCCAACTTGAAAACCGGTCGCATTTCTGTGTGTGCGGGGAGGGGTGTGTGTGTTGAATTGGGACAATGGGAATTGCACTTTTCCCACATCCTTATGCACCATGACTTCCCTCGATCTAGAAACTAGACTCCTTTTGACGCAGCCCAAAATCCCATTGACTTTTTTTAGCTGCTGAATCACACTGTTGGCTCACGTTCAAGTTGTTGTCCATAAAGACTCCAAGATCTTTCTCACATGGATTGCTGTAGAGCCAGGCATCACCTAATCTATATCCTTGCATTTCATTTTTTCTGCCTAAGTGTAGTATCTTACATTTGTCCTTGTTGAAATGCATTTTGTTAATTGTGGGCCCAGCTCTCTAATCTGTTAAGGTCCTTTTGAATTCTGATCCTGTCCTCTGGAGTATTAGCTATCCTTGTAAATTTGGTTTTGGCTCTCAGCCTGCTAATCTACCTGCCCTCTCAACCTTCATCCAAGCTGTTGAACAGAACTGGGCCCAGGATCGAACCCCTTTCATGGCACCCAAATAGTCACTTCTTTCCAGGATGAAGAGGAACCATTGGAGAGAATCACCCTTTGGGTTCAGTCGCTTAACCCATTGCAGATCCACATAACAGTAGCATTTCCTAGCCGACATTTGACTTGTTTGCATGCAAGAAGGTCATGGGGGACTTTGCTGAAGACCTTGCTGAAATCAAGATATGCTCCATTCACAGCATTCCCTGCATCTGCCAAGCTTGTAACTCTTTCAAAAAGGAATAAGATTACTCTGGCATAACTTGTTTTTGAGAAACATATGCTGACTTTTAGGTATCACAGCATATTGCAAGTGGGTTGATTCTATGAAGGAAGTTTGCAA